CATGTGCGAAATGTTATCCATAATTTCTTATGATCCACACGGTTTAATCCCTTTGTGTAGTCAATAAAACACAGGCAAACATCTTTCTGGTATTCTTTGTTTTCACCCAAAATCCATCTGACATCAGCAATGATATCCCTTGTTCCACATCCTCTTCTGAATGCAGCTTGAACTTTTGGCAGTTTTCTGTCAAGGTACTGCTGCAACCTTAGAAGTGAGGATGGTTAAGACTTTGTCTCACATAATGTGGACATGTTATCAGGAGGGACCAGTCCCTGAAGAAAGACATCAGACTTGGTAAAGTAGAGAGTCAGCGAAAAAGAGACAGACCCTCAGTGAGATGGACTGACACAGTGGCTGCAACAATAGACTCAAATGTAACGATTGTGAGGACGGTGCAGTACCAGGCAGTGTTTCATTCTTTGAACATGGATCGCTATGAGTAGGAATCAACTCAATGGCACCTAACAAGATGAGAAATAACAAGTTTGTTTATCATTTTAAGGATGTGTTCATTTCTATCCACAATAACCACTTTTTAGAATCCCAGAGAGAGTGTATCTGATCTTGGTACCAAGAATAGTTAATAGTAACAGTTATTCTTAACTTTATGATTGAAAAAGAAAAGAAAGCAAACATTTCCACCTGTTGACTGTCTGACTCCCTCCTCAGAGAATTGTAGCAAAAGCACTGAGAAGTCTTGGTTAGAGAAGTATCATGGAAGATGCCAAAATCAAATGCCCTCCTACAATCCAAACTGCTAAATGCTTCCCAAACCTGAAGCAAAAATGTCTTTGGGAAAAAAAAAAAAAAAACAGCTCACATTTTTCTGCAACTAGTAGAATATTTTGATTCTTCAGAATCCTAACCCCAGTCTCATTATGTGAGTCTCTGATTTGTGGCAGAACCTGTGCAGTGGGCTGACTGGTCAAAAGAAAAGTTTCTGTGTGCTGAGCCAAAAGGCCATCTAGAGGGTAGGAGGGAAATATGCTTCATTCATTTATTCTCTCCTTCATACGTCTTCCCTGCCACATCCACTTAGCCGTGGGTTGAAAGAGAGCAGAGACTTCTACACTCACCTCTGCACCACACACGTGGTATGGTGCATAACATACAACCAGTGCTCAGTAAGTATTTGTTGAACTGAATTGTGTGGTTGAATCTACAAACTCCTTCCTCCTTTGGGTCCACTGTGCCTGCATTGGGCTTTCCATCTTCCCAGCCTCAGTGGCTGCTTTTAAGCTCAGCCTTCACACTGGTCACCCTCAGGTTAACATTCTGAGCCAGAGTTGATTCTGGTGCTATCCCTGGTGTCTCCTTTTTGCCACCAGGATGTTCTCTCTTCCACTAGAGAACAAGTGACTGGGAGGCACACCGACAAATTCCTAATGTGGACAGAAACCCTGCTCATTCTCTATCCAATGGGAATGGGAAGGGTGTGTGTGTGTGTTTTTCAAAGCTCGAATGAAAGCTCATGGTTGCCCCTTATTAAATTGGTCTGTGAGTGAAAACAGGGGAAGGTAAGAGTATTTTACAAAGAGGCAATGACCCTCTGGCACTCCTCTTCCAGCCTCAACTTGGAGGAACGGCTCGATTTGATAGGCACACAGACAGTGAGCATTGCAAGTGATCTCGGAAAGCCTAGAACCCAAGGCCTCCTTGAGCCTCGGAGGTGAGGCCGAGTCTCTCAGGTGGTAAGTCTGACTGGGGATGTCAAAAATCCATATTAAAATGCTTCCTGGGAAGTTCCTAGGTGCTGTCCAGAGTAGGCAAACTTGCTATCCACACACTGTGGGGCCCCAAGGCCTGCTACCTGGAACAGGCCCAGGGTTCGAATCAGACCCTGTCCTCTGGCTATATGACCTCGGGAAGGCAGACTTCTCCAAGTCTGTTTCTACAAACTTTTTATCAGGATGGTTAGAGCTAATGTATGAAAAGGCCTCTTATAGTGTGTGCAGCAATAATAACTAACACTTAGTAAATGACAACTCTATGCTTTACATCTATTAACTCATTGCATTTGCGCAACAACCTGTGAGGTAGATGCTGTTACTGTAACCATGTTTAGAGATAAAGAAAACTGAGGCACAGAGAGGTTAAGGGACTTATTTAAGGACTCACAGATAGTAGGCAGTGGAGTCAGAATTTCCAGACTATAGAAACCTGGCTCAGAGTTGAGGCCTTTAATTACTATACTCCATTGCCTCTCGGTTACTATGGCGTTTATAATTTAGCTTGGCAGGAGTGTACATTATTATACTCATTTGGGAAAATAATTTGTCAGTATGTTTTCATACCTTTTGATCCAGTAATTCCACTTCTGGCAGTCAATCCTAAATAATCCCGCATACAGAAAAACACAAATGCAATTTTTCAAAAATCACAGCATCATTTATATTAGGGAAAGGGGAAACACCCCAACAATCCAATAAAAAAAGAGAATAAATAAAATCACAACACAGCTTTTAAATGGATTATTATATAACATGATCAAAATATGTAAAATATACATCTAGACGTTTTTATTTTTTAAGACTGGAAAAAAAACCTCACCAAAATGTTAGTGGTTGAACTAAGGTGATAGGATATGAAGGGTTGGTTTTTTGTTTTGTTTTTTAATATACTTTACAAATGTGCTATCATATAGCTTTGCTGCTTTCAGTAACATATTTGTTTATTGCTGTGTTCAGGCCTTCTGATGAGCAGCATGCCAGGTAAGCCCACATGCTACGGTGATTAGTTGGGAGCTGTGTAGCAGGAGGTGAGGGAAAGCATTCCTTCTCCCCCAACCCTGTCCTCACAGCCTCCTAAGCCTATGAAAGGCACATGACTTTTGTTTGGCTCAAGGCTCTTCCTCCCTACTGGATGTGGAACAAACAGTGTGGTTTGGGGGAAAGAGACAAGATTTGGAATCAACAGATTTGGGTTGAGGTCGAAAAGCTGCTAATTACTGAACCTGGGCTACTTAAACAACTGGATTCCTTATTCATGAAACAAAAATGACCAGCCTTCCCTTCTCTTTCGTGAGGTCCAGGACAGCAGGGCACTGGAACACACAGTGGGCTGCGTCTGCCTGCCACCACTTCATGCTGTCCTTCTCCCGGGATTTGCCTCTCTGGGGCCAGCCTGTGGGTGCTTGTGTGGGCTGGTCCTCCAGCCTCGTGCAGACCGTGCAGACCGCAGCCAGCCTGAGGTTTCCCGGAGCCTCGACTCCCACCTTACCTCTGGGTATGGGTGGGACATTCCCTCTGGGGAAGCTGTGTTTTGTAAGTACTTTTTTAAAGTTACAATACATAAGGCTTACTGTTTGAAATGAAGTGTTTCATCTGGGGTAAGGCGAAATGATCATCAAACATCCTGGAGGAAATGATGAAAAATTCAGAAGAAAAATAATTTTACATTTTTCTCTCTCATTACATTTTCCATTCACCGAGTAAAATCTACTCCTTTTTTTTTTTTTCCATAAAGGTTCACGTGGGGTCTGTTTCTATGAAGAGTCATATCATGCAGCCCACACAGAAGATGACACTTTATTCAAAGTCAATCTGTTCTTAGGAACAGTGTAAAAATACATATGTGGTGAGGTTAACAGTTTTCTTATTTGAATTCTGGACACCAAAGCCCCCTCTCTCTTCAGATGCTTGAAATCCTTTATATAAAAGCTTAGTTAGAAAAAATTGTGACAGTAATAGATTGTTTTATAATTTTGACAAGATTCAAATATGTGTATTCAAAATACTTATTAAAAGACAGTGGTGCTTTTCTTCATTTTGAAGAGGTTCAGAATGTTAATATGAGATTGGGTCTTACTCATAGTGTAAACCAAACCAAACCCAAACTCATTGCCACTGAGTTGATTCCGACTCATAACAACCCTCTAGGACAGAGTAGAACTGCTCCATAGGGTTTCCAAGGCTGTAATCTACGGAAACAGACTGCCGCATCTTTCTCCCGGGGAGCGGCTTGTGGGTTTGAACCGCCGACATTTTGGTTAGCAGCTTACCCACTGCGCCACCAGGGCTCCTCTCACAGCATAAGTCTTATATTAATTTATTTATTTGCAAATTTCTCCTTTACCTCATTTCCCAATTTTTGCGTATGCTGGTAAAAAAAAATTACTTTCCATAAATGATGACTTTAGACTTTCCATAAATGATGGTACCATCAAATCATACTCTGATTTATGTTCTCATCTGGATTTTATTTTGATGGTCTGCTATTTGCAAGAGTAAAAGGGAGACAGTTATATTATCTAACATTTGAGCTAAGGCATGACACATTTTATTTTCCTTAGATTCATACAATTTAGAAAAAAATATGTAACTCTTACCTGTGTCTGACTACACCCACCAAGACAGTTAATCCAAAGTAAAAAATTAAATAATTTGTTAATATTGTGAGGACAAAACTATGGCAAAATATGACAGGGTGTGGTCACCATCTAACAAATAACTTTTTGTGAAAAAAACAAAGATCAGTTCTATGTCTCTGTAATCCAGGTCTAACTTTTCCCTAGTTAATTTTTATAGTTTTTTTAACTATTTGCTAAGTGATATGAATTCTTTTGTCTTACGCATTACATCAACATGCTATCCCAAACACCTTGGCTATGATATGTATCAAGAGCCATAAAAATATTCATTGTTGGACTCAGAAATTCTATCTCTAAAAATATAACCTAAAGAAATAATTTAAAATGTAGGAAAAGCTATATCCAGAAAACTGTTTATTGCGTTACTTAAAATAGTGAAAAATGAAAATAACTACTAATACAGGAGTGACTGAGTAAATTATAGTAATCTGATTGATAGACTTTTTTTACAGCAATTAAAAATGATGAAAGATTATATAGAAGATGATTATAATTTTTATTTAAATAATTTTTACTATAAAAATAGTTTATGTTCAATTAAAGAAAATCTGAAAAATAGAATAGGAAGAAGAAATATAATTATACTATTCAGTGAAAAGGGCAGAATACACATTTATATCTATGGTATTATTGCAATTATGTTTTTTTTTTAAAGAAGCAGAGCAAAAAAGACTGGGAAGTTATTTTACTGGTTTTTTTTTAATTATCAGATTATAGGCAGTATAATTTCTAATGAAAAAAGTGTATTTTAAAAATAAAACACCACCCTCTTATAAAGAAAATCTCATCTGCCTCCTGTGATTTTTTTTTAAGCTCTGTTTATAAAACATGGATTTTACTTTCAGTGTGTCTCCCACGGCTACTTTTCAACAATAGCTCATGTTATTTCACACGTGGGAGGCATTTCCTATTTTAAAGATGGGTAAACTAAGGCCTGAAACAAGTTAGTTATTCATGTAACTTCCCCCAAGTAAATCCAAACAATAACTAGAAATGAAAACAGAACTTTGATTCATTTTTCCCTGAAATTTTGATTAAAAAAAGAAAGAAAAGCTGAGTCCCTGCAAATCACTATAACTTGGTTTACTTATGCAAAGTTGAATGAACTGAAGTGGAACATGGAATGGGGAAGTTAAACCAGGACAGCCTCACTTGGAGCATTCATTCTTCGATTCTTGCCACTCAGATGAACCTGTAAAGAATGGAAATGAAAGGATTGTTCCACAGTCTTGCAAGGTATGTACTACTAATATTCTGACTTTACAGATTAAGAAACTGAACTAACTTTCCCAAGGTCACAGGGCTAGTAACTGACAGAACAGAGATTGGCACCCACATCTGACAGTCTTCAAAAAGCCTGAACTTTTCCCCCTCCTGTGAGGATCAAATGAAGCAAAGAATACAGGTACGCTGGGGATGGGGGCATCCGACTCTCTCTGGGGCTTTGGAATCACTAACTCTTCCTGTGCCACCCCCCCCCAATAGAGGAGAAATCATGACTCTAAAGCTCTGTGAAAACATAAGCAGAGGCTGGCAATGTCCAATTACAATTTTCTTTTTAAAAATGTCTCGTATCTTTTGTTGTAAGGAAATTCTGATCTCTGAGACACTGCTTGAAATAAATGGGCCACTGGCCAGAGCTTAGAAATGTTTGCTATATGAAGGTCATTTAAACGGTATTTGGCATCTACAGATAGACTACTATTGTTATTAATAACAAGGTTAGTAAATTACTGACAAAATTAATAAATTTAAAGTTATTTTTTGGAAAGCCCCTATTTATAGAAAATTATGCTCAAGCTTACAGTCTGCTTACCATTTACATCTTTCAGATTCAAAGAAATATTTTTTGGAGGGGGATTCTTTCTTGCTTTTAAAAATGTGAACTTTGAGGGGGGTGTCTTATTCTCTTCACTCTCAGCATAGTTGTAAATTAGAGATAGTTTTGAAGTTGTGGGAAGTCAGAGGTAGGTTCAGTGTGTTGAGTCGTGACCAGTCCTCGCTCTTCGACGCTCCTGGGTAAGTTTCTTAACCTCTCTGGACCTCCGTTCTTATCTTTCTCCTCTGCCCTCCCTCAGTGTGGGAGTACCACTATACACCTGGGAGATGACCTCACTAGTTAAAAAAAAAAAAAAAAATTAATGTGTATTTATTTATTTGAATTGGTAACACATCCACGTGGTCCAAAACATAAAAGATATAAAGGGGGATTCGATGCCATCTCCCTCCCACTGATGTCCCTGTCCCAGTTCCCTCTCTCGCTGATTTTATTTTGCAAACTTAAAAAGGGAGGGCAAGCAGCAAGCAAAGTGACTAGATTTAACCTGAATTAAAGGGATTTAATCTAAGGTGATATTACTCAAGGCGCTTATTTGCTTCCCTGCAAATCCTCCCCCAAGTTTTCCGAGACTTCAAACAGCAACACTCGGCTCAACTACTAAATAGTCACAGCACCTTTTCAAGAAATTTTGACTTTGAACTTGCTAATGTGCAAAGGAAATGGTTCAGCCATTTCACTAGAACTTAGTTGGTAAGAAATTATCTTTTGTCCCTTTTATCATTTTCTTTTGAAATTTTGCTTTTTTCTCTTGTTGAATAGGATAGAAGGGAGTACAGGAAAGGTTTGTTTTGGACTTCTTTGATATTTTTATATCCTAGGTCAGCACAAAGGACATAGAAATAAAATCTTACCAAAATGCACCAAATTTCCCTTCAGTTAATTCAGTATATCCTTCCGCGTAAGACTGTTTACTTCTACATTTATAAAGAAAGGGTGTATTGAGCAGATGAACCATAGTGTAAGGAGGACAGCCCAACACTTAAGATGTGTGTCTTGCCCAGTGTCCGGCACACAGTAGGTGTATAGCCAATGGTGAATAAAACGTCTAATATACTAAGCATGCTTGAAGCACTTGTTATGCAATCCAAATATTTTTCGCAAATTTTTAGATATAGGATGCAAATTTAAAATATTTTTTTTAAAAAAACATTATTTTAAGAGCCTTAAGGACTTTTCCACGACAATATTGGGTTAATCTAAAATATGGAACGTTATTTTGCAAGAACTGGGCAACAACACTCCCTTCTCCGTGTATCTGACATTGGAGACTCACTATGCACGAAGTAGTTATCAAACTCTAACTCAATCCATTTAGAAAATAACATAATTACAACGATATCCCCCACCCCCAGGAAAGGGTTTAGGCTTTATGTATAGACAACAGTCCACAAAATGTGGGGTCACGCCGTATACAAACGGTCTAGTGGAGGTTGCTGCATTTCTTTAAGAGTACGGTTTTAAGTTTTTTGTTTTGTTTTTTCCCTGTTCGGTTAATATAATTAATTAGTCAGTTAGTTAATTCCATTCACTCATTTGCTCAGTCCACAGACATTGGTTAAGAGCCTACCAGGGATTTAAAGATAAAGATCTAGTGCCTACCCTCATGGAACATACAATCCAAGTCAAGCTTACTTTTCAATAAGCATCCAAGTTGTGCCTTGATGGCGCTTTACTACTCCCCCCGGGACCAGGTGCGTGAGTAAGACCCCAGGCGGCGGCGGGAGCCGGCGCCCGAGGTCCAGCTCTCTAGTCTGGCGAGGCAGGGCGGAGTCAATCGAGCTGCCACCGTCGCGGTCCCCACACGCTCTCTCCTACACCCCCTTTAATTTCGCGGCTCGGACCACCGGAAATCAGCAGCTGGCTGAGCCGACTGGGCCGAGTGCGGCCGAGTGCAGCGCGGGAAGGGCGCGTCCGCCCGCCCCGCCGGGCGCCCGCGGGACGCGCCGCCAGCGCCCTCTCCGCCGGGGGCTCGGTGCTCGCCCACCTCTTCCAAATTTAACCATTACCTAAATCCGAAGGGAAATGAGCAAACCTCTCGGATTGGGTGTCAAGGTATTTTCAGCCTTGTTGGGCGTATTTATCCCGAAGTGTTTCCACAACAAGCTATTTCGGGGCCGCGGGACAGGTTTCTCTCTGCGGACACCAAGGCCACTAGTCGGGCTCCAGCCCGGCGGCACCGCGGGCCGATGATTCACGGCCCTGACCCGGGGGCGGCTCACCCCGAGCTTGGGGGTGCCCGAGGCCGAGGAGACGGAGAGGCCTCTTCGGAGCCGAGCGCCCCCACCCCCCGCCGCTTCAGTCAATCTGTGTCCTGAATCTGTGACTTCTTCTCGCTGCGGAAGTCTCCCAGGAGCCAAGAATAGTACATTTTCTTTCGAGTCATTTCTTGCGCCTGGGTCCCCCCACCTCTCGCCGTCTTACAGAGAAAATACGAGGAGGGTCGCGAAGGGGCGCCCCGGACGCCGGCTGAAAAGCCGTGCCCCCCCCCCCCCCCGCCCCGCCCCTCGCGACCCAGTCCTTGCTCAAAGGAGGAGCCCGGCTGGGGGTTGGGAGGCAGGTCTGAGAGGGCTGCTTGAGCTGCTCCTTAACGCTCAGGAAGTGAAGCTGGTGTGGTTTTTTGGGGGCTGAGCTCTGGAGGAGTTTAACAAAAAAAAAAAAAAAAAAAGTCAGAAACAGCGCGGTCTCTCGGAAAGCAAGACTCAGTTTGAAAACTCTCGGAGCGCCGTGCCCGCGCCCTGACCCGCAGGTAGGTCCGCTGCGCCTGTTCCGCGCCTCCTGACCTGGCGGGGGCGGACGCGGGAACGGGCAGGGCACCGGCGCTGCGGGGGCGACCAGATGGCCCTCTCAGGTCCCCACCCGCTGCCGGCCGCTGACAGCGCGGGACTATGGGTCCAGGAGCGACCTGCGCGGCGAGGCTGGGGGTCTGGAGCAGGGGGCGCGCACCAGGCGGTTTGGTTGTTCGGCAGGGAGCGGGATCCGCCCGGGAAGGAAACATCTGGTGGCGGAGGCTGCGGCTGCTGTGCTCGGGAGGCCGCCCCCTCCGCGCCTTCAGCTCCCGCCATCCCAGGCACTGACCATGCGGAGAGGCCCGGCGGGCCCGCGTGCGCTGAGGGGGCCGCCCCGCCCCCGGCTGCCAGCTGCAGTGCGAGGTCGCCTTCCCACGCGCTCAGCCAGCGGCCTTGCCCCTCCAGGAACCGCTCCCCGCCAGGGCCCGCACGGCTCGCCTATCAGCAGCACGACCCTACGCGGCAGCTGGGCCCTCGCGACCTCTGAACCCCGTTTTCCTTTTCCTCTGAGTTTCATGGTTGTAAGGAATTGTTTTTTTGCGTTTGTAGCGTCTTGTTAAGAGCTTGGCTACTAACCAAAAGGTCATTGGTTTGACTCCACCAACCGCTCCTTGGAAACCCTATGGGGCAGTTCTACTCTGTCCTATAGGGTCGCTATGAGTCAGAATCAACTCGATGGCAAAGGGTTTGGGTTTTTTTTTGGTTTAGCGTCAAATTGTACACCAGAGGGGATGGCTCCCATTGAGGCACTGGGACAACTGAAGCAGCAGAGCCCCGCCTGCTGCATCCCGAATCCTTCTGAGGCCCCGACCCTGGGAACATCCCGGACGGGAGCGGGCAGCACCCTCACCCCTAAGGGGCCTTCTAGCGCTTAGCGGGACACGTCGCTGGGGATGTGCCCAGCCCTCTTTTCTCCCAGGCCTGTCGCCTACTCCTCCCCTAGACCGAGAAGGGGACACAGTAGGGCGTGGAATGTCCTCCAGGGACCGAGCCCCTGAGGACTCAGTTTGAGCCGGGGGCTCCAACCAGCAAACGCAGACTGTGTCCGCATCCTACCCTGGGAGCCGCGCGGCTCGGAGTCCGGCAGCCTAAGCCGCTCGAAGCCGGAGGACAGGAGGTCCTGCCGGACACGGGGTCCCCGGCCCCTTGTTCTGTCAATCAGCTGAGGCCACAGAGAGCTGCTGTGCCCGAAGAGCCTACAGCTGTCATGTGAACCCGGCTCGCATCGCCTTCACCCCGGGAGGAAGGCAGATTCGTTTTCCTCAAACCTCCTCAGCCGCTGGGTCCCACCTCCGGAGGTACTTCGGAGCAGAGCAGTACGCGCTGCCCCGCCTCCCTGCCGGGCTCAGGTTTCGACCTGGGATTAGGTGAACTGATTGGGGGTTAATGAGAGCGATGCAGGAGGCAGATCCCTCCCGGGCTGGCGCCCCGACCCTGGCTCTCTAGCCACTGGAAGCGCAGCTTGCGCGTTCGGGCGCCCTTCTAGTCTGCTGAAGTGCTTGTGCTCCGCAGACTCCGATACACCGCGCGTTCCTTAGCCAGCGCGCGCAGATCCGGCTAGACTTCCCCAAGACAAGGTTTTTGGCCGGCAGAACAGAAAGTGCTTTTTCCTGGGCCCGGGTTTCTGAGGTCTCCATGGTCTGGGATGCCTCGAACCGGACCCTGCCCGCGCCCGCTGCGCCCACGCCTCCGGGGCCAACATTTTCCTCGCATGCGGCGCGAGTGCGGGGCGAGCCGGGATCACCCGACGCGAGTTCCTCCCAGGACAGAGTTGGTCCTCTGCCACCACCACCCCCCTTCCTGTCCCTTTGCCCTCCCGCCTCCCTGCTCCGGCCTCTGCTGCTGAACCCCGCCCTGCGGTCCTGCCTAGTGCGGTCCTGCCTAGTGCGCCCCGCACGCTCCCCCTCCCTCCCGCCTGTAGCAGGCCCTCGGAAGCTTTGACTCCTTGCCTCTTCCCTGTCCTCGACCACCGACTTATCCCTGGGTGCTAAACTGATATGCACGTCCCCGCCCTGCGTCCCCAGCCCTAAAGGAGAGCCAAGCAGGAAGTGAGTGGTCGAGTTGGGGTAACCCGCCCGTTGGAGACTGCGGCTCTCCAGAGGGTTTGATTGCCCGAGCCAGCTTTGCGAGGAAGGGGGAGGGGCCGAGGGGCGTGGGCAGGGCAGAAGGAACGGGCCTGAGCCGCGGGCCCCATGACGGGTTTTACGGCTGAGCTGTGGCGGTGGCGGCGGCGACAGGCTCGTGCCACCTGTCCGAGTGCCACCTGGTGAGCGTGGCGCAGTGGGGCCAAGCCCCTCCTCCCGCGGTCTCTCCTCGCCCCTCCCCGGCCGGCGCTCTCCCTCTGCCTGGCTGCCCAGTCGCCAGGCCTGGAGGGTGCAGACCCGCGCTTCCACCCGGTTCTCCTCCTCTCAGGTCTCCTCTGGGCTGGGCCTGAAGTAGCTTTCGGGTGATCCCGGGCTGACAGCAGCTCCAGGGACTCTCGGAGTGGAGCGGGAGCGCTCCGAGCCACCATGCCGCGGTCGTTCCTGGTCAAGAGCAAGAAGGCTCACAGCTACCACCAGCCGCGCTCCCCAGGACCTGACTATTCGCTCCGCCTGGAGAATTTGCCGGCGCCGGGCCGAGCAGGTGCGGATTGTGAGCGGACCGAGAGGGGCTGCTTCCAGGGATGCCGACTCTACGCCCTGCCACACCATTTCCTTGGAAACGGGAAGGGCGGCCCTGACACCCCCTTTGCTGCTGTTTTTGTTTCCTACCCTCCGGGTTCCTCCCGGGCTTGTTACCTAGGTGCCTCGCGGCCTCTCTGCGCCAGCCTGGGGCTCCTGACCCCGTCTGGGCGGGAAGGGAAGGACGCACGGCTGCCACGGTTCGGGGGGCGCCACTTCGGAACCCTCGGGCCCAATCTGAGTCTCTCCCCCGCCTCCTCTCCGCAGACAGCACTTCGAGCGCGGGCGGGGCGGAGGCGGAGTCCCGAGGCCGTGTGTCCCCCGAGTCGCAGCTGACTGAGGCCCCCGACGGAGCCTCCGCGTCCCCTGGCAGTTGCGAGGGCAGCGTCTGCGATCGGAACTCGGAGTTTGAGGACTTCTGGAGGCCTCCGTCGCCCTCCGTGTCTCCAGGTAGGGACTCGTTGGGAGCTCCTGGGGCGGGGGTCTCGGAGGACCCCACGTTGCGGAGTGAAATGGTGCAGGGTTAGACGCGGAAATGCTAACTGCACCGCAGAAGGTCTTTCCGGGAGGACCCGGCTGGTACATGGAGAAAAGGGCCCCGTGAGGGAGGTATTCGGCTTCTCTGTCTCTGGGACAGTCCCAATCTGCCGTCTCCATCCGAGGCGGCAGGACCTTGGCCGCTCGTCCCTAACATTTGTTTGCGCCGAGCCAGCTCATGACAGAAAACGAATGAAACTTCTCGACCCGCAGCAATGTCGACATTTCGTTTTCTGACGACAGACCGTTGTTTAGAAAGAGCTAGAGCCCCAGAATCCAGACCCCGACCCTCAAACAAACCGAGACTCGGGCAGTTTGAGCGAAAAGCGTCGCTACCTTTAAACATTGCGTTCGATCCCGCGGCGTTGAGCCTGGCAGAGCTGGGTGCCAGGCGGGAGGGAGGGGTCCAGGATGAAAATCTCAGTCCCCGGCTCGGTCTTCGCTGGCGCAGATTGGGAGGTCTGTTCATTTTTCGTTATCCCGGGTTGGCCCAGCCTCGGGGACCAGCCTGCTGGGTTTCATTTCCAGCCAGTAGTCAAGCTTCGAGCAAACAGAGCAGTCCTAAACCGCTATGGATAGGGAAGAGTCTCGGGTCCACGCCGGGATAAGGACTCAGACCAGCCGGATTCTGCGGGTTATCTCCAGGTTGCATTTACTAATATTGAAGACATCCCCACCCCATGTCACACCCAGTGCATAGACTTGGCTGAAGCCACACATAGCTCCAGAACCTGGGAGTTCTTACTTGCCCTTTATTACACCGTCCCGCGAGGACTGGGGAGCGCCAGAATCCTTCCGACGGAACCTCCGGGTGCAACCTCTCACTCAAGCGGGCAGCCTGGACTGGAGTCTGCGCAGTGTGTGTGTGAGTGTGAGTGTGTGTGTATGAGTGAACGGATTTGTCAATGCGTATGTACTCAGAGAAAGCACACTTTGGGTATCTGGCTTTAGCAAAATTCACGTGGTGGGGGGGCATCAGGACGCGGATTCGGAGAGTTATTCTGCTTGCAGGTGGTGACGAAGCCTATTAAGTGTAAATCATTTTGTGCAAAATCGGGATTTTTTTTCTTTCATCAAACCATGACAGGGATGGGAACGGGGAGTATTTGACGGCAGTTCAAATCCAAAGCCCCCCTCCCCCTTCCGCTTCCCCTTTGCTGCCTGCACTGACACTTAACAACTTTGAGGAATTTTAACGCCTTCCAGTTTTTTTCAGACAGATACGTCTCGGCTAAACTGGGGCTGCATTTTATTCGTCCTCTCCCTCTCTCCTCACTGATCCTGGGAAAGAAAAACATGTAGAGGCCAGGAGAACGCCCGCGCTGGGGGCAGGCGAGCGCAGTCCAGGCTCAAACGGCCGCCGCCTTGTCCTCCCGCACAATCCAGCTGACAGCGTTTGTTGAGCACAGACTGCGAGGCACACGTTTCCCTACTGGACCGCCAAGTGCGCAGGTCCAGTCACAAAAGAGCCTCGTAACGCCGCCGAGCCCTTCCTCTGCCTCTTGCACAGAATTTACTTATCTCCCCACCCGACGTCATCTTATTTATCTGTTTGCTGCTCTGCCGCCTCCAGTGACCCGCAAGGCCCCGGGGCTAGGCCTCCGTTGACTCCTTGGGGGGACCCTGGCACCTAGCGTGGCGCCTGGCGCACCGAGTGCTCCACAAGGAGTGGGTGACTGGCAGCCAGCAAGCACGCCTGATCCGCAGACGCCGTGATCATAGGCCTCATCGGACACCCTCTTGTGCTTCCGCAGCCTCGGAGAAGTCGGTGTGCCCGTTGCTGGACGACGCCCAGGCCTTACCCCTGTCCTTCAAGCCGTATTCGTGGAGCGGCCTGGCGGGTTCTGACCTGCGGCACCTGGTGCAGACCTACCGGCCGTGCGCGGCCCTGGAGCGTGACGCGGGCCTCGGTCTCTTCTGCGAGCGCGCCCGGGAGCCAGGCCACCCAACCGCGCTGTATGGCCCGGAGCGGGC